GCAAACTGGCACCATCGTCCACCACCTGTTCAGTTTCACTAATGTTTGATTGGAATTTAATGAATTCAGAACCTCAACACTGGTAGCTGTTTTTGCAATCAATCTCTTCTGCATCGCTAAGTGAAAGTTTTATTACTCATTAATATATGTATATGTGTGTGTATTTGTCGGTTTTGTTTTATTTTTTTGGTTTAAACCAACCTAAATATTGTTGGTTTTTAAAAATTTACTTCCAAACAATAGTCGGGTATACTCGTTTTTTTGGTTTGTTTTGGTTTTTCTGTTTCATTTGAACATCCTTACTGGGCAACGTAAGGTGAAACTATAAGCTAAATGTCCTTAATCCTCGGATAACCCTCAGTTCGTGTCATACTATTCCCAAGGATCCGGGGGACATCATCCTATTCTTAAATAGTTTATGAAGGAGATAGGTGTTTAGAATTTTTTGACAAATCCTCTATACTTTTGATGTAATTACTAAAGGAGTTCACTATTGGATACTTCTCTGTTTATAATACCAGTTAACTTTCTAAAAAAAAGGTTTGTATAATTGACTCATTGTTCATGTTTATCTTTATTTTTACAATAATTGAGGGAAAGTAATGACTTGCTTAGTGGATGGGATTATCATTCTTAAAAAGGTTATAGTGCGTAAAATGTATGGATGCTCTGAGCCAATTTGGGCATACCTGCTTGTGCTGTTTCAATTTTTTTATTCATAGTCAACGAAAGTGAGAGAAAGGTGTGGTTTATTTTGCATAGAATAGAGATTCACTGTTATTTTCAGAACTTAAACCACATATCTGACTTTATATATTCGTCAAGGATTGCTGATGCAGAAGAAAATCTTGGTGAAAGTGAAGTTCGAGAAGCTCATTTGGCTAAATCATTGTTCTACATTAGAATTGGTGACAAGGCATGCTATCTCTTATTCATTCAAATGATTGTTCAGAGTTCATTTGATCACACTGGGCAAATCTCAATCAAGCTTTGTTGAATTTAAAATTTCAGGGGAAAGCACTTGAACAACTCAAGGTGACTGAGAAAAAAACTGTTGCAGTTGGGCAAAAGATGGACCTAGTGTTCTATACCTTGCAGATGGGATTATTTGACTTGGATTTTGACCTCATCTCTAAATGCATAGATAAGGCAAAGAAGTAAGTCGGAGTGTTAACAGCCAGTTTAGATGTTATTACACATGATGTTCTAAATGCCTTTTTTAGTTATTGAGCTAACTCCCAATGTTTGGTGGCTGACAGATTATTCGAAAAGGGGGGTGACTGGGAGAGAAAGAACAGGTTGAAGGTGTATGAAGGGTTGTTCTGCATGTCCACTCGTAACTTCAAGAAAGCAGCAGATCTTTTCCTTGATTCTATCTCAACTTTTACCACATATGAGCTTTTCCCCTATGATACTTTCATATTTTATACTGTCCTTACGAGCATCATTACCTTGGACCGGGTTTCCTTGAAACAAAAGGTAGTCAATATGTACTCCCTCTAATATCCTTGTTTGCTGTATGAGGAATTTTCTAACTTCAAAATTTGTGTTCCCTTGGAATATCTGGGATGTTACTGTGATGAATGTACTTGCAAATTCATTTTTATCACGTATATGTTGCAGGTCGTGGATGCGCCAGAGATCTTGACTGTAATTGGAAAGATTCCATATCTGTCCGAGTTTATGAACTCGTTATATGATTGTCAATACAAGTCATTTTTCTCAGCATTTGGTAAGCTTTTCCATTGATAATTTTTTCTTTTCGTATGTGAAGTGTGTCTTCGTAGTTTGCAAAGGTCTGCACACAAAAGTGTATGTAGATTATGTCTGATGGGGGTCCCTGATGCATTTTCTTGAGAATTTGATTGAGAATAGTGGTATTTGGCTATTTGCAAGGGCTTGATTACTGATAATCCAGTTTGGAGGTTTTGATTCTCAGATGACAGTGTTTCCTTTTTGGAGTAACTTGATAGTGAAATAGGTTACCACTGTTGTATAGAAACGTACCCCCTTTTCTTGTCTGAAAGTCTTTTGAATATCAGCACGAATGTATGGGGTCTTAGTGCTCTTTATTAGTCATGCAAGTAGTTTGCTTGATTGGACTAAAGGGATGTTCTTTCTGGCACATATTAAAACAGTAAAAAAGATGCTATTTCCGCTCCTGAAACTTGAAACTTTTCGAATGGATAATAGTTCTTTTCCAATTGCATAGAAAGTAATATCTCGTCATCTTTGTTAAGTTTGACAGGGAGTTTGTTTGGGTTAGGAGTTGGGGTAGGTGGGTGGACTTGTAATTCTCATTGCAGTTAGTCTTAGCTTGCATAGTCTGCTCACTTCTCTTTGTAATAATAGCTAATAAATCTTACATTGAGTTCTCTTCAGAGAACTAACTCAAATTTGTAGGGCAGTTACATTCACTTGAATTTCCCAACTGATTATTGGAGATGGGGGCAATGAGAGACCAATTGACCTTTGCGCACACACAAAAAAGATTGATACCTTTATAAAAAAAATTGACAAACCTAAATGTGTGTTTATAGACAGGCGTTAAAATGTGATCTGTAAGTATCGAGTTACAGGAGAGATAAACATGCTATATCTGTCATATACTCGTGATTTGTGATTTACCTATATGTTGATTGCTAGGGCCATGTATGTGGGCCATGAAATGATATATCAGTTGCAGAATGGTTGAATTTTACCTTAATGTGTTTTCAGCTGGCTTGATGGAGCATATTAAATTGGATCGTTACTTGCAACCACACTTCAGATATTATATGAGGGAGGTCAGAACAGTTGTGTATTCCCAGTTCCTGGAGTCCTACAAGAGTGTTACTATTGAGGCCATGGCCAAGGCTTTTGGGGTGTCTGAGGATTTCATCGACTTGTGAGTGCTTCTATTTCATGCTTAGATAATGGACTGTGTATTCACTATAAAACGTGTAACATAATTGAACTTTTCTGTTTTACTTCAGGGAACTATCTCGGTTCATTGCAGCTGGGAAGTTGCATTGCAAGATTGATAAAGTAGCAGGAGTATTGGAAACTAATCGTCCTGATGCAAAGAATGCTCTTTATCAGGCAACTATCAAGCAAGGGGACTTCTTGTTGAATCGCATTCAAAAGCTTTCTCGTGTCATTGATCTCTGAAGCCGTTAAACCGTGCGTTATACTTGTTTTCTCTTCAACTCTCTGTAGCTCTAATATTGATATATTCTGCCTTTTCATATTGAACTCTTGGGGGAGTATTATTTTAGTAATTTTCTGAAATCAAAGAGATTTTCTGTGTTGGGATAGCTCTTATATTTGGACAAGCATTGCATCTTTTGAAATGTTACTTCCTATTTAAGTTTGTGCTCAGCTGATGCTGAAATTGACTTGAGAATTCTAACTAGTGAAGCTAAAGAATGCATTTAGGGGGCCGTTTAGTAGTTAGTTAGAGTTAATTGATACATGGATTAGTTAGGAGAGAATTTATATGTATCATTTATGGAGGATTAATTAGGTAAGGTTTTAATTATTTGATTTGCGTAAAACAATACATAAGTTTATTTGTAATTTATACATGCATTAGTTAGTGGGTTTTTTAAATTATAGACTAAACATTTTATTAGTTTTATACATTAATTTACCACCTAATTAAATATCAAAATGTGACACTCTGTTCTGTTTTTAATCTTGAAAGTAGAATATCATTTATACATATTTTAATGGGAATTTATACTAAGAATAGGATCGATGAGGTTTTAATAATTTAAGTTGAACCTTTTTAGAAGTTACACTTTGAAAGTTTGCTCATAATTGTGTATAATTAACTGTTTTAACATGTTTGTGTGAATAAATAATTACTTGATCAACCCGTGATAGTGCGTAAATGAAAAAAAGTAATCATACTCTTCAATTTGTAAGAGAGGGTACAGAAATGTTGGTAACTATACATGGGTAAATAAAAAAGAATTCATTTTTTTTACATTTTTTATTTTTAGTCTTTGTAATTTATTTTTTGAGATATTCTTTTTAATGGAAAATGATCAAGAATATCCTTTTAACTAAGAGAAATTGAACAAAAATACTTTCAGTTAATAGTTTGATCTAAAAATGCTTTTGCAATCAATATTTTGATCTAAAATATCCTTATCATCAATACTATGGTCCAAAAGTATCCTTACCATCAATACTTTGATTAAAATATGCTTATATTATTACTTAATTAGTCAAAAATGCCCTTTTCCTACTTTTCTTGCACCGTCGAAACAACCATAATTTCCTCAAAAAAACAACAAAAAAGAAAAGACAACGAAATAAGAGGGATAATGCACAAGTACCCTCTCAATTTATGTCCGAAATTTCAAAAACACACTTATACTATAGATTGAGTGGGGTACGTGTGCATTATCTCCGTATATATATATACACACACTCATGAAAAATTAATTCTCATTGAATAATAGTATCATATATTTATTTTCCTAGTATTTGGATATCTCAAATCTAACTATTCCACTTGTTTTGGAAGAAAACCAATATTAAGAGTTCATTGGCCATGCAATTGAGATTTCAAATTTGAATCAGTGTCTGTTTTATGAAATTTGAAAGAAAAAAAATTCAACTATGATTTCAAATAACAAATTTACCTTGAAAATAAAATTTCATTTCTAGGTTTGTAATTTCACTTTTTTATAAATTTAAAGCTTGACACATGAGCTATACATACAAAAAAGGCTCATAATTTTAATTTTGCAAAAGAGATCCGACCTCCACATGAAGAAATGATTTATAGAATGTGAGCGATTATATTATAAAAATTAGTTACTAAGTGTTGATTTATTGAATCAATGGATATTTATAAAATTATGTAAAATTTTGTAATAATAAATAATCAGAAACATTTATTTACAAGAAACATGAAAAAAATATTATTTGTTAATGTTGTGCTTTGTGATATTTTAATATCTTACTTATAAGGAATAATTACTAAACTATACAACTTTACTTTACCTATTTCCAATATTTCTCTACTCTTTTATTAAAATTAAAAAATCCCTTTTATACACCCAATGATACTTGACTTAATTTTTTACATTGGAAATCAAAACTTGAACTTACCCATCCCCAAAAATTTCGCCCAAATTCCCCCACCCCCCTTAAAATTTTCGGATAAATTTTAAAACTAAATTTGAAATTCAAAAAAATTCAATCCCTATTCTTCCGCTTTAGAGCTTCTCAAGTAAATTTTCTTCGATTCTTTTAAAAAAAATTTGTGTATGTAATATTCTGCATTTTCTAAAAAAATTATAGTTTTCTTTCCAGAATCGAAAGTTTCGAAGATTTGAGTTCTAAATCGTTCCATGACCCTAACAAGATCGAAATAACAATCCTTATTCATCCGATTTAGAGTTGAGAATTTGTTTATCATCTTCTCCAGTAAGTTTACTTTCTTTCTTTTTTTGCATTTCTTGTGTATCTAATGTTCTTCCTTTTCTAAAAAATTTATTAATTTTTTCCAGAAGCGAAAGTTTTGAAGATTTGAGTTCTAAATCATTGCATGACTCTATAATCATGACAAATCCAAGTTCTAGCAAGAGATCTTCTTCAAAGAATAGACATTCATCAACTTCAAAATACCCAAAAACCCCAAAGAAAAGGGGTAGAAAGGCGGCACCTCCGATCATTCGACTAACACCACCTACGGTATCAACATTTGTATCCCTATCCATCCTAATTTTTGTATCTTTCAGTAGTTGGATGATTCTTTTTTTTTAAAGTATCGTTTATTTCATTGCACTCATGAAACACAGAATATTGTTGATACTTTTATGTCTTACACATTCCTTAATATTTCATAGATAAAATTTTAAGTATCGATTTATAATTTTTTGATACTTTATTTTTTTTTGTATATATGTATATAACACAAATAAAATATTTAGATATTTGTGTATCTATTTTTTTTTTGTATATTTATATACTTATGAAAAATTAATTCTGGATAATAATATCATATATTTATTTTCCTAGTATTTGGATATCTCAAATCTAACTATTCCACTTTTTCTTTTTGGAAGAAAACCAATTTTAAGAGTTCATTGGCCATGCAGTTAGACACTAATCCTTTAATTTTTGGTCTTAAAAAAATAATTTCACCTGTCTATTAATAATAATGTTTAATCAAAATTAAACAAGAAAAAATAGATAATTATATTCATTTAGTGTGGTGGAATTTCATATTCTATAGTTATTACAAGTTGCAACCTTTAGAATTTCTATTTAATATTAATTACTTCTTTCAATTTATCAACTTGGACCATATTAACTAAAAATAATTTTTCCTTTATGCATTTTTTTGAGAATTTTTTCAAAATGTCAATTCTTTGATATTTAATAGGACTCCTTAGCCATGTTTTTAATATTTATTTAAAATGTAAATATTTTAATTTGTTATGTATCTAATTTATATATCTTTTAATTTGTTTGATTTTGCAAAAATAAATTATTCAATAACAGAAAGGAGAAAATCAAGGGAGAAAATATTAAGAAAAAAAAGGGACATATCACTTAAAATTCTCACCAGTTACTATTTCAAAGAAATCCCCTTTCTCATTCGAGATTAACAATTTCAATCTCTATTTTCTCCTTTATCAAAATCTTAATCATGGATTGTATTCCGTAGTCAAAATTGTATTACATGACAGCAAAATATATATTTCTTTTATTTGTATTACAAAAATATTAGTGATTGTATCCCAATACAATCTAATTATTACATTTGAATATGATTTATGAAAGGAACAAGATTCTGAAAAAAAATAGCATACATGATGGAAATAATACAATCTGTTGAGGAAGAATATAATATTCAAAAGGGTTAATGCACGGGTACCCCCTATGACCAAAATCTCAGAGACACCTAAACTATTCTAAGGTCTTATTACCCCCTGAACTTTTTCTTTTTTTAATTTTGTACATCTTTTGTTTTACATGGCACACTCCATGACTCAACGCAATTGAGGCGCGTGGGAGATACTTGGATGTCATGTAAGCCAAAAAGATGCACAAATTTACAAAAAAAAAAAGTTCGGGATATATGTGTGTGTGTGTGTATAATGAATATGAAAGAAATAGGGATGAAAGATTCTGAAAAACAACATACTTAGTGAAAATAATACAATATGAAGGATATAATATTCTAAGAAAACTACAAATTAATTCTGAAAAAAATAGGATACATTTATGCTTAAAAATACAAATCCATTTGGCATACCTATTGGAATGACTACAAACTAAAAAAGAAATACAATGTTCTTAATAAAAAAAATAAATATTGAGTAAAAGAAAAACATTTGACAAATTTTCTTTATGAATATAATTCTAATATGAAATCAATTTTCTCCTCCTCCTCCTCCTTCTCCGATTTTTTGTTCACCCTCCTCCTCCTCCTCCTCCGATTTTTTATTCGCCAAATCCAAATTTGAACCCGTATTCACTTGTGCATTAGTAATGCTATAAGCAAAATTCAAAATTATTAAATATAAATGTATAAAAAAATCAAACAATATATGATGTAAAAATACCAATGTAGATTACTACAATATACTAAAATCTCAAATATGAAAATAAAAAAAATCAAAAATAATGTTTAAAAGACCAAAAATTTGAAATATATAAAGAGGTAAAATCTCAAAAAAAATACTTGGTGAATACGAAAACAAACTCAAAAAAAATTTGAATAGTACTGTTTAAAAGATGGAAAATCTAAAATACAAAATACTGGTGAATATGAAAACAAAATCACAAGAAATCTCATAAAATACTTGTTGACTTCAAATTTATCTTAACCAATTGTGAAAAATATATAGAATTAATTGTTTCTTGAACAAAGTTTTGAAAATTCAAAGAGTTGATTTTCTTGAAAAAGTAAATGAGATAACAATGGTGAACAAGGTAAAAGAGAGAAAGAAGTGATTAGGGGTAAAACATAGAAAGAGGGGTAATTGGGTAATGCGAGTATTTCTTTTACCGGATAGGGGAGTAAAAAATTGGTCCAATGTGGGCCTGATTTGAGAAATAAAATGAAAGGACATTAATTATATTATGATATAATTTATTTACTAAAATATTGACAGATTGATATTTTAATAATTATTTTAAAGTGTAGATGTTTTTAATAATTATATTAGGGATTGTGACTAGTTTACTAACTTTTTTTTTTCAAATCAAATTTTGTCATGGGCCCTATTATTTATTAATTAAATAAAGGAAAATTTAGCTAACTAGTCAAAAATATTAACTTATTTAGTGATAATATCCATACTTAAATAATATTAGTAAACATGTCAAAAATGTCATAATTTTAAAAATAAATAATTGTTTTGATATTATTAATATTTTCTCTCTCATTATTTACACATTTTTTTCTCTCTCATATATTACACATTTTCCTATATTTATGTAATTGGAAAGATATTAATGTCATTTTAATTTCTCTCTCTCTTTTCTTAAGCTTATTAATTTCTCTCTCTTATTTTCTTTCTAATCAAATTCCCAGATTTTTCTCTCTTTTCTTATTCTTCTTTTCAATTTCTCTATCTAACATTCTTCCAAATCAATTCCACAGATTTTCGATTCAATATATTAATATTTTATATTATTCTCATTTAATTTCGTTGCAAAATTTGATTTGAAGATTAACATTGATTTGGGTATTATTTTTTTTTTCAGATGCCTTATTTATTTACATACTGATTTTAGTATTTTTTTAATTTTTTTTATTTTGTTGTTGTTCTTAAAACATTTTTTAGGATTTGAGACTACATAATTCTCTCTTCAATGGACGTTTTCAAGAGAGTTACTAGAGGTATTAGACAAAATAATCAAAGTTCTTCCGATTTTCCATCATTTAATTTTTTTTTTCACTCAAGAATTAAACAACAATATAGGTTCCGCTTCTAAATCTAAGGAGGATATACGACAGGGAAAAATGCCTGAATCTGTCGATGTGCAAAATCCCACACAAATTAATAACAATGAAGTTGAAGAAGACCAATTTGTTGGAGAAGAGTTTTTTTTTTTGCATGTTCTGTGTCTTGCATGTTTAATTTAATTTGTTTAGTAATTTTTAAGATTCAAAAAAATTCATGTTACAATGCGTTTGGAAGTATATATGGAATTTTTATTATGTTATAGTTAGTATTTATTTTTGTATTTTATATATTTATTGTATTTTGTTTCTATTTTTTTTTTGTGTTAGTTATGTTTGTGTATATTTCATAATTTTGATGTTTTTTGTATTCATAAATTTGGAAGTGTATATTGAGTTTTGTTGTTGTTTTAGTCAGTATGTATTTTTGTATTTCATTGTTTTATTATATTTTGTATTCATAGATTTGGAATCGTATTTCATTTATTTCATTTATTTTATATTCTATTTTTTTTATAGTTATGTCAATGTACCACAGTTAGTATTTATTTTTGTATTTCATAGTTTTATTGTTTTTTGTATTCATAAATTTGGAAGTATATATTAAATTTTAATACTGTTTTAGTCAGTATATATTTTTACAATTAATAGTTGTATTCATTCAAAAATTATGTTGCATTGTTTCTGAATTTGACATTTTTTTTTAATTTGTATTTATTCTAAAGGTATGTCAACTAGTTATGTATTTTATTTAAGAATGAGTACACCAAATATTCAATTATTTCTTTTCAATTTTATATTTCATTCACTTTTTCATCATACTAATTTTTTGTATTTTATATATTATTATACAAAATTCAAAATAAAAACTAGAATAAATAGAAATACAAATAAAATACATATTGAAATGAATACATACAAGAATTTCGAAGAATAAAATAACTATATAGGGGGAAAAAATATATAAAAATACAAATACATTTCTTAAATGACTATATAGATAAATTTGACATATTTATTGGAATGAATATAAATTATAAAAAACAATAATAAATATAAATAGAATATATTGTGGAATGAATATAATTTTAAAAAGGTAAAAATTTTGGAGAGAAAAAAAATTAAATTTTATTTGAAAATGTAACTGATGAGAAAATTAAGGATGCTTACCTTTTTTTGAAATATTCTCTTCCTTAATTTTCTCCCTTTTGTTATTAAATAATTATATTTTTTAAATAAAAATAAATAATAAAAAAGATATATAACAAACTAAAATATGACATTTTTACTAAATATTGAAAGTATTGCTAATGAGCTCTTTTAAATGCTAAAATATTGACATTTTGAAAAATTTCCCTTAAATAAATTCTTTTGGGCTCCAAAAAGAAGCCCATAAAAAACGCAAATATAACCAAAAAAAACTTACAACTGAGTTAGCCCAAAAATGACGGAGTTGAGGTATATAACAAGACCCTAAATAATAGGGTTTCATAATAAAAAACCCTAGTCCTTTCATCTTCTCTATCTTCTTCTTGCCGCCACTAAGTATGTGTTCTTTAGTGCGTGATAAAAGATTCTTCATAGTCGATAGATGTGTTGTTTCTTGCTCAACAACCAATGGTGAATTCCTTTTTTATTTTGTTGCCTTTTGATTTCAAAGTAGCTTTGGTGTTCTTTACTCCATTAAAGGTGTATCATCCGGTGGGGGTTCATGAGTTTGTGAGAAACTTGAAAGAGAGTTAGAACCCTGTATTTAAAATTCGTAAATCTTTGTAAGTATTTCTTGATTTTTCTTCACCCTTATTTCAATTAATCTACAAGATTAACTTTTTTTTTCTCATTTGAAGTAGAGGCGGAGAAATCTAGGTTAGCTTCTTCATCTTGATATCTTGGTTGGATACAAGAATATAAAAGGCAGATCTAGTTCCTGAAATCAAGTGTTTTGCTGGT